GGGACCATCAAGTTGTGGAAGGGTGCCTTGACTCTGAAAAAAGGCTGGAAACCACTGCTCTGGACAGTCAACCCCAAGAAGTCACAGGCTTGAAAATGTAGCTTAGAGTTAGAACACCCACCACTGGACTTCAAAATGGGATTTACCTGAATATCCCAGGAAAGAAAAAGAGCCCAAAGACTGCATTTAGTTTCACAAGCCACATTCTGCATCAATGATATTTTAAGTTACCATAAAATTTTAAAACATTACCTGCTACTTGCGCCAATCTCTCGTGAAGTTTATATAAACTGTTCATCATGAGACTCTTCTCACTTGGCTGTAATTAAAGAAGCTGGTTAATATCAAATCAATGGACAGCTATAAAAAGAAAAGCATCTTTCCTCCACCCCAAACCTTAAGCTGAAACTTTTCTCCTGTTAGATTATCCACACAAGCAGCAAAATAAACAAAGCGTTTTGTGCCTCAAAAGAAACCAGTGCAAAAAAAACAAAAAGGAAACTGCCTACACTACTCAAAGGATAATTCTGTCAGGTCACGAATTAAGAAAGGGCAGTACTTGGATTTGCAAATATAAACTCTAGAAAGCAGACTGACAATTTAGAAAGTTGCACTGTTCTCGCTACATTAGCATCAAATCACTGCACTCGAAAGACCTTGGTAAGTATTATGAACTTGGAAGTGTTAACTTGCAAAAGAGGAAACAAAACAAAAGGTGCTAAATATTTGTTTTCAGTGAAGGCACAACAACACTTTCTGAAAAAAATAACTGAATTTCCATTGAGTTATATCCTCTGCATTCAGGCTAGCATTGGATTTTTCCAAAGGAACTATGTACTATGAGCTTTACACATCTATCTTCAAACTTAACCAGCTCATTCTGAATCAAGAAAATAATGATCTCAGAACTGTGAAGGTGGATAAAGTGGTCAGTGTTTGTAAGATAAGATCCCAAGCCTTGGGCACACTACATTTTGTGGCATTATAGGGGCATATATACTTCTACAAAACAAGCTAATTATACATGCTAAGGGTAGCTGTAGTGCTACAAAAACAGACAATCTACTATATTTTGTAGCACCACATATAAAATGTGAATAATTACACGAAGAGCTTCTAAAGCCTTTGGCCAGCATGCCACAGTGCTCCATTCTTCCTCTCCCTTCCCCTCCCACCACCCAACAGCAGCAGCCCAAATTGTTCAAGGCTACTCTAGGCTTCCCCTGCTGTGGCAGAAACAACAGGAATAGCTACCCTCCCTCCCTCCTGCAGTGGCAGCAGCAGCAGCTGCTGCCACCACCACCACGAGGGAGGAGACAGTGGGTGGGCACCATTTTTGACAGCTGCTACATCAGGACCAGAGCTGAGACTTGGTAGTAAAGCAGCAGCCAAAACACAGGCTTCCCTCTCCCTTGCCAGGGGTTGGCAGAGACATCTAAAATTCAGACCCCAATCAGTCCTAGAAGTAGCAGTGGAAAGGAAAGCAGCTGCTTTCTCCCTGCTACTCCCCCAGGCAGCAAGCAGGAAAAGGGTCTGTCTGTTTCAGCTGCTGCTGCAGAAATAGGATCTGACTAGGTCATAGAAAAACTGTCTTTGATAGCTGTCTGCCCTCTCCTGTCTTAGACAACAAGGAGGCTGCTATCCAGTATCACTGTCACCTTTCCCAGCAGGAGAAAGGGGAAGGCTAATTGGTGACTGGGTTCACTAATAGGTTGCTCTGGGGATAAGAGCAAAGGATGTGCCCTCTATTTCTTCCTGGATGAGGCAGTCTCTTAGGATACCATTTACACATGCTCCAACACATTCCAACTGAAATGCATTGGATCAGACTCGATTTATCAAGTCCCAAGAGCTGCTCTAATTAAAATGCCTCCCCCGCCATCCCAAGTATGTGTATAGGTACCCTTCAGTCTTCAGCCTTTAGGGATCTACTGATGTCCCTCTGGAACAAAGAGCAGCCAGAATGAAGTTCTGCTACATTCCCAGACTTGGAATTCACTTTCTTTGCCAGATGTGTACCAGTTCTAGCTCACTAGTCTTTATAGTATGCCACAAAGAACGTATCTTAATGGCTTGTTAAGAATTGGATATTGGGTAGGTTGGGGGTTATTTTATGTCAGCTACATTTTTGTTGTGTCTATATATTCCAAGTTTATGCACCAGAAAGTGAAGGGATTCTTTTGGTCTGTTAGTAAAAATATTACTACAAATGACCAAAACACCACAAAGTGTTTATTTTGTTCAGCTTTGAAGGACTGTCTAGATGTATATGAAATATTTACCAGATAATCTATGGGAGTACACAACTAAATAACTAAATGAAGATTAAAGACTTACTTTCCAAAATAAGTATGGGTGGAAGGTCAAATAATACACAGCATCTAGCATTGTTAGCTACATTGATGAGAGCTTACTATCTTGTTAGTAAAGTCCAATTTTACCGCAGCACATGTCAAGAACTGCTCCAGAGATCACTTCCTATTCAAGTATGTTTCTATCCTAATAGTTTTCAAGGATCATGCTGGCATCAAGAGGCGTGTATAACGATTCACTTAATTCCAGCTAATGGTTTCTAAGCTGTCAAAATGTGTTCAGCGATCCACCAAACAGCTCTAACTACCAGCTCCTGCAACTACCTGGAGACAGAAACAGTCAACTTCCTGGGAAGTTTTATATGAAATACCAACTTTACATACCACATTTGACAGCTGGAATATAATGAACATAGTAAGAATATATATAATGTTCCACTCAAAAAAAAAAACAAAAAAAAAAAACCTGAGCTTGAAACAGCCCAATTTTTAGAAGTTTCTATTAAAAAAAATCTACCTATATCTTTACTTATGACCTTTGGCTCAATATAGTCAAATGTTTTAATGAATTGGGTATCCAGGTTGTAGCTGTATTGGTCTAGAGACAAAAGGAATCAGAACTCATGGTAGAGGCGATATCTTTTATTAAACCAACTAGATTTTTGCAAAAAAATACTTTAATTCATAGATTCATACACTGTAAGGCCAGAAGGGACCTCAGACATCATCAGGTCCAGCCCCCTGCACCAAGCAGAAAGACAACTGGGGTTAGGTGACCCCAGCAAGGTGACTGTCTAGTTTCCTTTTAGAGATTCCCAGGGTAAGTGATTGCACCACCCCTGGAGGGAGCTTATTCCACAGTCTGGACACCCTGACTGCGAAGAAGTTTTTCCTAATGTTGAGCCTGAATCGATCTTCCAGGAGTTTGTGGCCATTACGCCTGGTTTTCCCCTCGGGTGCCCTGGTGAACAGTTGATTAACAAGCCCTTGATCTACTCCCCTAGTGTAGCAGTAAGCTGCTAAGTGTAAAGAAGCTGTCCCCTGTCAGCTTTCTATTCCTCAGGCTGAAGAGTCCCAGATCCCTCAGGCTTTCCTCATATGGCTTGCCTTTTAAGACTCTGATCACATAGGTGGCTCTTCTTCGGATTCTCTCAAGCTTGTCCACATCCTTGTTAAAGTGCGATGCCCGGAACTGGATGCAGTACTCCAGCTGCAGTTTCACCAGTGCCAAGTAGAGTGGAAGAATCACCTCCTTTGGTTTTTACTAGAGATGCATCAATCAATGTATGCCAGAGTATTATTTGCACTGCCGGCTCATGTTCATAATGTGGTCTATTATTATCCCCAGGTCCATTTCATTTGTGGAAAACTTTCTGGCATGCCCTTGTCCAGGGGGCGGTTCTGTGACTGTATATAGGCAGGCAGGCAGGCAGGCAGGCAGACCTCCTGTGGAATATGAACTTTCATTTCTACCCAGAAGGACTTTTATAATCTTTTCACCTATGCCTGTAGAAGGGTGTTTGTGCCCAAAAGCTTGCAATTAATTTTTTTTTTTTGGCAAAAATCTAGTTCATCTAATAAAAGATATCACCTCTACCATGAATTCTGATGTTCTGTGAATGAACTTTGTCTGACATCAGAAACTAATGGGAGATGTATCCAAAGGGTACTATTTAGCATAACCCTCATGGATAATTAGCATCTCATGGTAACTGTACTCTACTGAAAGGAGACAGAGATTTGCAGGACAGAAGAGAACAATGGGAAGGAATAATCTGTAAGGAATACAGGAAGAGGTAGTTCTCCTGTATTCTTTTAAACTCATTTTAAATGGGTTTAAGTAACATTCCTAAGCACAGCATTTTTCACTTCAAATCATAAAAACAGACCTGTTAAATTTGCTTAATGTGACAACAGTTTAATTAATTCACTTACTGCGTTGAGTGGCAAAATGACCTCTGCTTAATAGTTTGACATATCTAAACATATCTTTGTTAGCATTAATTTTGTATAAACACAAAATCTCATTACAAATATTAATCACATCTACTTACTTTTATTTTGTCAAGCTCTCCACTGAATGGATATTTAACTATCAAGGAAAGAAAAAAAAGGTTAATTCATCCATTACAATAAAAAAAATTAAAAAACAAACAAGAATATAATCTCAATCCCATTAGCAAAAAGCCTGATCTTTTGAGGATTGTAACTTTTTTTTTTTAGATTCAGAACATATGCAGTCTTTAAATTTACAGTCATCTCATTTTCATTTGGCATAACAACCAACTCAACTAAGTTCCATATTTTCTGTTGTGAGATCCCAGCAATTTGAAGAAACAGTCAGCAATATACCAGTCGAAGTAGTGTAAAAAAATGCGACTGCTTGGATATGAATATAAGAAATAAACCAATACTCTGTCAAACCTAAAATAAACCCCAAAAGTAATTATTACATTTAAATAAAATATTTGAGATGGCAGAACTTTTACAACCTATGCAAAAAAACCCAACAACACATCCTTATTCCATGATGACCCCTCTATCACAATGCTATGGAACAGGAGTGATCCTAAATGAAGGGGAATTGTAGGTCAGCTTAAAGAAGTATAAGTAACATGTCTAAATAACACAGTTACTACAATTTATGGACACTTAAGCTGCAGATACCTAAGGCTGTAGCCAGGAAAAGAATCTGTAGCCAGAGGAAGCTGAACCTAGTCATATAACTGAAAAAAATACAAGTTTTTAAGCAACAACAGACCTAATGCAGGAATTACTGGGCTTTATTTTATGGCCTAAGTATGCAAAAGGTCAGACTATGATGATGAATCTTCTACAGGTCTCAGTATGTGAAGTGTTAACAAATGCAGAAAAAAATGGAATCTTAAAGAAACTAAACTTCAAGTCCAAAAGGAAAAAGTCTGTAAGCTTAACCTGTTCACTAGTGTTTAATATAGCAAGCACACTGAACAAACACCCAAGCTGCTATAGCTCTACTATGTACATGAAAGAAGGGAATTGCACAGTGGAATCATTCAGGGCAAAACATTTTTTTAAGATCGTATCAAAGTATTAAGACTTCTGGTTCGGCTGCTCTAGATAGTCACTTATAACCAGACTGCCTGTCAAAGAACAGACTTTAATTGTTATTTTTAAGGCAGTTGGCATGGCAATATTCAGAAACTCTTCATTTTTTAAGCAGGTGTTCGATATCAAAAGCATCACTGGACAAACACAAAATCTAGAGCACAAAGTATAAAACTTGATTACATAAGTATATAAAATATCAACATGCATACATTCTCTGTTAAAACAAACCAAAAAAGGCTCTTACAATTGCAAAGGACTATGGACAGAGTGAAAGTAAAGACACAGTTGCAAAACAGTCCCAAGGCCTCAGGTAGCCTGCTATGAAAAGTCCCCAAGATAAACCAAACGTAAAAAAAACTGTAAACCTAAAGAAACAACAAAGCAGTCCTCCAAAACAAGAGCATCCTCTTTAGGTTGTGTGCTCTTCTTAGCTTCTCCCTTATCCCTGCTGGTTGATCCAAGCTGCAGCCAGTAGCTGGCCTACTCAGTCTCTCCTGTAGTCTTCACTGGAGCTCCTCTCAGTTCTCTAACCAGGGCCATTACTTCTGAAGCAGACACTCCCCTGCACTGCAACTGCATTTGCGTCTTAGGCCTGCCTCTTCTGGTCCCAATGCAAAACAGTCCATCTTAAAGGGCCCACACACCTTTCCTTTAATAATAGGGTACAGGTCCCCATTATATTCCCACTATCACTTCTTAGACAATTTGCACAGAAATATTCCCTACACTGCTATAGGAGCCTCAGCTTTCAAATCACCTCTATATTTCATTTATTAAACATCAAGAGAATAGTTGCTGCACTGCAAACATTAATCTAAAGATACAAGCAACAGTTAATTTAACATTAAACATGCTCCCAAGGAATATTTTACTGATTAAACTAAAGGTTGGCACCAGAAAGGAGAAGAAAGGACAGCTGTTATGCAATCCCAGGTACTTCTCATAATTTACAGGACATGTTCCATGCAGAAAATTGTTTCACAAGGTATCTCCCTTTAGTTTAGAGGTAGAAAGCCAAAGACGGAAAATTCTAGTGTTTGGAAAAACAAAAAACAAACAAAAAAGCAAAGCAAAGCAAAGCAAAGCAAAGCAAAGCAAAACAAAACAAAACAAAAATCAAGATTTCAGCACTGGCTAAGTTCAGTTGAAAATGTGCAAAATACCCCAAAAACCACAATCCCAACACTCCCATGCATTTTAGGACACTCTTGCAAAAAGCGTCAAATCATTTTAGTCTGTGCAGGGGCTCCAAGTTGAGCAATAAATTGAAGTCCACCCTATCCCAACCCATCCTTCCCCATGTCACCATACCCCAGAATATAGCTAATCCTGTATTATCTACACTCTGTTTTTAGAGTATGACTTTGCAACTGGCTATATTAGAACACCAAATTTGCCAAGTATTCCCAGTCAAATTATATCCATATCATTAATTACCACTCCCAATTTCCCTCATGCAATTACTGTGTGATCTATCAGTTACCCAATAATCAGGTTCTAAGCCACTTGATATGGACTACACTGAATTTATTTATTAAATGTATGTGCTGTCCTCCCCAAGAAGGTTCAGTGACATACAACAACAAATTAACCATCCAAAGGATGTGAAATAAGTTTCCACAAAAGACAGACTAAATTAAAGCAACCTATTTTGCATAACACTCATCATTATCAGGATGTCAAGCCAGACATTATGCCATTATCAACCATAAATAAAAAGACTTAAGATTTCTCACCTCTACCTAAACCTATTTCAATAGGATGCTTGTCATCAGCAGCTGGCAAGGGAGTCCTCACAGCCCCTTAGTCCTCTGGATGAATACCCAGGGTTGTATCATTCAGTTTAGACAATAGTGGACAAAAACCTAAAATCTCTTTGAACTGTCATGCCCCAAAGCCCTACCCTTTTCATACAATCAGCCATTCAAATTATAGCCATCAAGCATCTTTCTTATGGTTCCCCTCTCTCAATTTCTGCCTAATGCAGGCAGAAGCTACAAACAGCTAGTGGCTGGAATTGTACTTGCATGTACTACACAGACGTCACCCATATATCAGCACTTTTTAAAAAAAACATTGAAGCAGGGTTGTCAAAGATGCAGCCCACAGAGCCCTATTATCCTCACCCCTGCTGCTACCCATGGATCTCCAATTTGACTCACAGGCTGGGCAGACCAAACAGCCCTATGCATCACACATAGCACCCACTCCAGCTAGCATCCTGGAGCAGCAGAGCAGTAGCTGCATACAACAAAGTCCTAGAGCAGCTAGAGCAGAACCATGCCACATGCAGCACCCACTCCAGGACACATGCCGTATCTGGAATGTTGGACCTGTCTGTGGGTCTAATCCAGCCTACTGACCAGCCCCATACAACTGAAGTTACTAGCTTAGCAGATCAGTCTGAAAGGTCCCTTAGCCACAACAAATTAAGATGGCAGCACAAGAAACTTCCGAAATAAATAAGGACTTCTAGAAAGAAAAATCAGAATTACTTTTATTTTCACTGTGTAACTTTTTCTTTTATAGATTAAATATGATTAGTTCAAAACCCAGTTTATTACCCATAATGTTTTGCTTCATCTCAGATACCAAAAACCACAAAATCTGAAAGCACATCAGCCCTGAAAATGCATGCTTGGATTGAAATGTCTAGCAGTCAAAATAACAGCAAGCCTCCAGTATGATATGGGGAGAGCGAGCACAACTCTGGTCTCTCTCTCTGATAGCTAGCATCTATATAGACTAAGCAGATGTCCAGTCTTATGACCAAATCTCTCATCTGTGTTTTAGCCACTAGATTCTCATATCTCACTTTAAAAAATTTCAACTGGCCAAAGCATCCACTACTAACACAAATGTTACTTAATCTTTTGTTAACACAAAAGATTGTTTTTGAACTAATCATACTTAAACTCATTTTGGCATCAAAAGCATCACACACACTTGTGTTATAACACTATTGTTTAGGGTAGATCCAGAATGGTATAAAACAGTGCTAGTATTTGGGATGTATGGTTAGTGTGGCCAAATAAATTAATTAAGCTTCATATAAAACATGTAAGCTTTTAAGACAAAACTACAAAGGCTACATTACCCAAGAAAACTGAAATGTATATTTTCATACTCAACTTGCACCTATGGCCTGTAGGCCACATCCAGACCCCAGGAAACAGGACTGGGGAGGAAAGGGAGGGCTTCAAGCAGAAGTGCTACTTGAAGCCCCCTCTCCCAGTGCAAAAGGGGGAGGGGCCAGGGGAAGCATCAACACCCCTCTCCCAATACTGCAGTGGGGAAAAACAGCAGCAATGTCTGGGTCCTAGTGCCTGCTCTCCCACCTCTGATCCAAACTGGAACAATCCACAGCCTTAGAAAGACTGTGTGGCAGTCTATATGTTTCCTTCTTGCCTCCTTTGAGCAAAAACTTTTGTAAGAGTCAATGTTAAGAATGATTTTTACCACAGAAAGCATTCTGTGCCATTGAAAGAGTGCAGTGTGCAGAGGGAATCCAGAACAGCCAAATGGAAGTCAAAACAGGTGCTTGCAGACAAAAAAAACCCAGCAAAAAACAGTGCTTTACTTTAAACTTGACACATTTCTGTATATGCCCAGAAGAGGCAGCGCGTTACTTCAACCCAACTTGCCCGACATCTGTACAGATTGGGCACTTTAGTGGAGCTTTTTTGGCACTTCTAGCTAAAGCTGATTCAATCTAATTGAATTGATTGCTGATTGAATCAGCTTTAGCTAAAAGTGCAAATAAGCCCCACTGAAGCACCCAATCTATACAGACATTGCAGAACTGAACTAGAGTAACACACTTCTTCCTGTAAAGTGTGGTTTTGTTTTGTTTTGTTTTTTAAACATCTGCAAGCAGTCAATCTGATTTTATAGCAAGCGGTCTGTGCCCCTATTGCCATTTTCATTCAACCAACTCTACTGCCAGTGCCACTGTATAAGACTTAGAGCTGGAGTGCTTCCCAACACCTGAGAGAGTATACA